GGTAATCCTGGGGTCGTGATGATGGGACCCTTGAATACTGTTGCCCAGGGTACAGGGAAGTGTTAATCCGGCCCTGCCACCACGTGCCAACTGTCAAACACCTTTGTGGAGAATTAAGAGTATTTTGTTTTTTCATGCTTTGCTTCTGCATTTTGGCTCAGTTTTTGGTTAACTGATTGTTTAATCTATTAAATGTTGTCATTTTTGTGAGGTTTAATAAGATTCATCTGTTTATGAAACCTGAGGAGAACAAAGTGTTTTCTTAATATGTACTTTTGTGGAAAACCCTAGAACTGAAATAAGTACGGATGGACTGATTTGAGTACCAGGTATTTGTGTGTGCACCAGCACTAATGTAAGAGTTTTCTAATACCAAACCGAGGTGTGTATTCTCCTCTTAGTTGAGAAGTTAGGTGTTAGTGGATGCACAGAGCTAGCTGACCGCAAAGTTTTTCTTTGTTTTCTCATTTGTATCGTATTTGAGTTGGTAGTCCTGACTAAAACTTTGTGTTGTTTACAGTAATGCACCATAAATAAAGATCCAGAGATAGATCCTCTGATTTTCAAACTCATTCTCCCCTTAATTACAATTAATTTAATGGAATTAATGTTTGTATCAGCATTCATATCAGCAAGTACTCTAAACTAAGTACTTTCACTTATATTTAGTTTGAAAAAATAGGTATAAATAAACTAAAATTTAATTAACAGGCAAGTAAAACTAAAACTCTATCAAGGTTTTGTTTTGCATTTAAAGATTTTTTTAAACGGGTTGGTCACACTTCAAGGACTACTTGAAGTGTCAGAAGCTCTTGTTCATCAATGTGGAGAATTGCTCTTACTTAGATTTCAGGATGCCAATGGGACAATGTCCTATAGATTAGGTTGAGATGTGCAGTAAATACAGGCCCAGAGGGGATGGAAGAAAAATTCAAAAGAACCCATGACATCAAGAGCTCCATAGAGGATTGCGTGGAGCGTGTGGGCTGGGTACCAGAAAGCCCATGATGAMTCAGAACAGGAAGTTAGTGTGGCCCATAGAACAAGTGACCAAAGGCTCTGTGATAGGACAGAAAAAAGATGGAGGATCTTGTGGTTGGGTGACAGAAGTCCTTTTGTGTAGCAGGGTGATAACAAGGACACAGTTGAGTTTTTGTGCTGGGGAAGACGACGATAAAAACGCGATTGAAACTAGGATCAGATTGGACAGGAATGTGAGGGCTTCTTGATTCTGACTGGAAACCCTAAGGACCTACTTAGCTTGAAGAGTGACATCATGTCAGTTGGTATGCTGAAGCTTCCCTCTCATCAACACCCAGTGTGTGATTGTATTTGTGACAATCTTAAAGAAGTCTTAGAAAGAGGCAGCTTGCATACTTCCACATTAATGACATAAGATAATAGAGCTGAGCAGTCCTCACTTGGGATAGATGGTAGTCATCTTGGCTGCTGCATATCCTGGCTTGCACGCCCCTTTGCTAAGGTTTCCATACTTGTACGTCAACTCTGTTGARCTGTAAATTAGAACAAAGGGTGACATTATTCAGAGACATCATGAAACCTGATTCTTAATTACACAGACACATTCAAAGCATCAAAAACTGAGCTTGTCAAACAATCTCTTGGAGAGATAGAGCTGTTGATTGCTTGGGAAGTTGAAGAAGTCGGCAAGAAGTTTGCGTGTCGTGTGTGTGGCCAGACAAAACAGTGAGGCCTTGTTTAAATAATCCCACCAGCAGTGCTAAGTCTAGAACCTCCCAATAACTACCATGATCATTAATAATCTGATGTACACCGGAACACTAGTTCAAATAAACAGAGTAGGAAAGGAGTCAGGGCTGTGCTCTATGTGAGGTCCAAACTCAAAGCTGGCTGAAGGAGCAGCTCAACTACAGCATGGCTGCAGGAATTAGAAGCACTAATATGTTCAAACACTAAATGCATTAGCAGCATTCACTGGTCTGCAGCTGGCAAGTACTGTAATTAAGTGACAATGAAATCTTGGAGAAACTATTTCCATTAGTCAGTCTACTAGCAGAAATAAATAAAACAGAATTCAATGATTTTCAAATCTCTGTCACATATTTTATTCATATTGGAACATAGTAAATGTATCAATGTTTAAACTAAAAAYCTGTACCATTTTGGAGGGGGAATTTATTTTTGAATTTGATGACAGCAACACYTCACAAGAAGGTTGAAACGAGTTCATGTTTCCCTCCATGAAGCATCTCCTCTTCTAAACATCACTCTGTTAAAGTGATCCATGATTAGTTGTAACATTAGACTTTATTTAATAAACATATATTTTAACTGTAAAATAAAGACTGTAAAAATACTG